CCAGTCGTACTGATGCTAGACGCTTGAAGGGGGGCTGGAGTTCATCTCCCGGTCTACTACCCGGTTAACACTTTTTTTTCTCTGTGCATCTAGTCACAGGGTGTCCCAAGTGACTGGTGCACTGGCAATATTTGCAAGTTCTGCACGTAGTATGAATTGTGTGTTTTGGGCCTCCTATTGCGTGAGATGATGTTCTGCGCTGTTGCGATGTTCACTCCATTTCAGGAAATGCGGCACTTTGAGCTGATGCGTCTTTACGAAAAGCCACGAAGCTACTAGGATATCAAGTCTGCAGCCTGAGAGTGACCTACCGACGAGCCAAAGAGGCCTGTACTGTCAGGCTTAGACGAGGAACATAGTGTCAAGGAGTGTATAGCTTCCCTATATTGACTTCGACTTTGTTTGTGATTGAACAAATGAGGTAGGCGCCTCGCCTTGTGCGTCCCAGGTTACTATTAGCCTCGTTGGCAGATAACTGCACGCCAACTCGAAATTACTTCTACGAGAACTTGCACAACTGTAAGATACGCTTAAAAGGCTTCTTTACGTGAAGCTCGCTAATTATCTTAAGCGAGTTTTGCGGTCCGCCTGATGACTCGGATTGGGACAATTGATCCAGGTGCGATGAGCTTGCACGAGGTCAAATGACAAGCCAACGAACAGGGGTAACACGATGCATTCACGTCTGATTCAGAACAGTAAATTTCCTTATATGTGGCAAGGACATCATTTGGTGAGTGTCTAGCAGTATGCTACCTAAGAAGACAACACAGTGTCATGATCCTTGCACACATGAAGCTAAACACAGTGCTGCCATTATCCGACATTCGTACATCTGAACGATGCCCCCCCCAGCAAGGAAAACGCAACCTTCCTATTCACGCAAAATTGTCAATCTTCGTCCAGAGGTTCATACCGAGCTTCGAGCCCTTCTCGATCGGCAGGCCGGCGTGCAAAACTCGGTCGTCACCGACCATCTCGCCATCCTCACCCTTGACCAGGTTGGTCCAGAAGACGGCATTACTGTAAGCTGTCAGTTCTCGTCCATCGGTCAAGAATGCCAAGATTGAACTCACCCCTCAATTGGCCTGAATGTCACACCCTCCTCCCTCGCCTGGTCGCACTCGACAACGCCACACCAGCCGTCACCCTCGGGCGCCGCCAGCTTCGGGAACTTGGTGCCTCCGCCGGCAATGTCCTCGCTGACGGAAACGTACGCGAAGAAGCTGCTGAAGCGGTTCCCGCCGCGCTCCACCGATGCGTGGCCGTTCTCCTTCGTGTTCTCCGCGGGGAACCAGTCGTGGTGGAAGTGATACTGCTCGCCGACGGCGTAGCGAACGAGCTGGATGGGCTCCTGGTGATTCGGCGGGAGGTCGAAGCTCTGGAAGCGTCGGGCGCGCTCGGAGATGCAGCTCGTGACGGGGTCCACGCCGACGGTTGTCGAGGACGAGGTTCGGTGGGTGGAGACGACGTCGCCCTCGGCGCCAGCGACGTTGGAGCGAGCGAATGTGCCATTGCTGAAAGTTGTGAGAGGGCTGTTCCCCGGCGAACATGCAGCAGCAAAACTTACGTGATTCTCTGAAGGTGCTGTCGCTCAAAGGGCGTGACAAAGTTGGTGATGTAAATGACGAGCGGGCTCTGAGAAAAGATTGAAATTTCGTAGTTTGAGGTGTCGCATACGTAGTCGGCAAGAGGATCCTCCTCTTGGGCTTCGACGGCTTCTTCGCTGACCACGTCCGCAATGTTGGCCTGCGCAGCATCGTCGGCGACGACAACCGTCACAGCCTCGGCCTGTTCAGGAGTCTCATCGCCGTGGCTGAGAGCGGTGCCAGCAAGAGCGAAGAGCGCCCCGACGACTGAGGAGCGCATGTTGATGAATCTACCCACGCGTTCAAGCTTTGATGACAGCCGAGCCTTGATTCTGGATTGAATGTGATTGACTTCAGAATCGCTTTCACTTTTCAGTTTGTCGACAGCAATCGGTGAGGATAATGAGCACGCCTCGCAACGGGATGTTGACCTCAAAAGAAGATGGCATCAGGCCACTTGGCTGCCTTGTCCGCTTAGTTTTCTCCAATTTTTGTTGCCCACCCCCAAACAAGCAATCATCCGCGGTCATCCGGAAGAGGCCATTCGGAAGTCTCCTCCGCACCATGGTCTGGCCCAGCGAGATGGAGAATCCCTGGGCTAATCGGAGCCCAAGCCCAAGTCACATCGGCCCCTGAACCACCTCTGCGGGGAAACGGGCCAGGGGTCGCATGAATGGGGTCCAGCAGGGGTCGGGGCTAAAGTGACGCGTGGTCCCCAACCCGAACAATTTTCCTCTCGTCTTCAGACATCCCCCTACCTCCTTGACAGGTCTCACTGACGCTGCGGTTCGATCTGGTTGAGGCGGCCTGCCAAGACCCCCAAAAAGGCTGAAGACATTCGAGACGCCCTTGCGGCGCACCTACCCGCGGATCTGCACCCCCGAGAAGCCGCTTTAGTACTATAGTCGGAGTTGGGGGTGCCGAGGCGGAGGGGAAAGCTCTTGTGGGGTGTGTTGCCATATTACGGTTACAATAGTTGGGAGCTCTCCCGCGCACGGCGTCTGGCTCTTGAAAAGGAAAAAAGGACACATGTGAGGGCGACGGGCTTTCTCCTCTTTGCTTCCTCTGTCGCAACACGACCATCCTCGGCCGAGAACGACAAAGGAGTATACCACGACGACGGTCGCCATTTCTCGAAGCAAAGACATCGGAACCATTGGATCGTGGCCATGACACGCATCCTGAAGCTCGGCTGGCTCAGTCTCGCCATCGCCTCTGTCGCAGCCTCTAGTGACGCGGCGCCGAGCCAGGAGACGACAAAATGGAGCGCTTTCGAGCATGTCAACGAAGCTCAATTCAGGAAGGCCATCAAGGAGAACCCATATAGTCTTGTAGCTTGTGAGTGTACCCATTTTGACGTTAAGTGCCCACGCTGACTGAGATACAGTCACAACTGTACGTTGATCCTCTGGTCTGATTTTGTTGACAAAGGTTACTGACGAAGGCGCGATTGGCAGCCTACCAAGTGAGTGACCTCAGTCATACCATGCGAGGGCTGTAACTGACACACGCAGCTTTGACAGCGAGGCCCTCGAGTGGGAATGGCCCGCCATCAAGGAGAAAGAACCCAACGTCCTCTCGGTCGACTGCGCCGCCGAGCCCGAACTCTGCCTCGAGCACGACGTGAGGGCGTACCCAGCTCTGCGCTTCTACCGCAGCGGCAGCCTCTACGCCCGTTATCGCGGGCCTCGCAAAGCCTCCTCGTGCGTTCTCCCCCCCCATCGATGAGTGACCAATTCTCGAAGCCTAAGACCGGCCTAACCTTTGAATCACCCTGTGCTGCAGTATCCTGCCCTACATGCAACGCATCATGCGCCCCGTCGTCGATGGCCTCGAGGCTGCCAACCTGACGTCCTTCAAAGACTCGGACGACGTCGTCTTCATCCTCCACCTGCGCGGCCAGGACGCCGGGCGCGGCCTCTACAAGCGCTTTCACGACCTCGCCGAAGAGTTCCACGACCGCTACACCTTTGCCATTGCCAGCCGTGCCACCGACGGCTCGGCCGACGAGCTCGGCGAGGACGCGCCCAGCGTGCTGCGGCTGCTTCAATCACCGCGACGGCCGCGAGGCCGAAGCTCGACCACTTCTTCCAGGACGTCGGCTCGCTGCGGCGCTTCGTCGTCGGCTGCGGCGAGAGGCTCGTCAAGCAGCTCACGCGACTCAACGCCTGGGGGTTCACCGAGGGCACCGACCCCGTGCTCTACTACTTTGACGCCGACCCGGAGGCCCGCGCCCCGCTTCGCCCGACGACATGTTGCCCGTGGCCAAGGAGCATGTGGGCCGCGTCACGCTCGTGGCCGTCGATCCCTTCGTATTTCCCGAGGCCGTCAACCGCGTCGGGCTGCCGTGGGACTTTCCGTCCCTGGCGCTGCAGAACCCCGCCACCAAGACCATGTCGCTGTTCAACAAGGCCGAGATCAACGCCGGCGTCGTGGGGCGGTTCATTGCTGATGTTTTGCAGCTGAATCCGCCAGCGCCGCAAGTGGGCGCTGCTGAGGAGGCTGTCAAGGCCGTGCCTGAGATGTCCGAGGTGCCCGAGGTACCTGAAGACGAGGGCGTTGTGCTGGAGGACAAGGACAAGGAGCATGATGAGCTGTAATTTGTATACTCCCCTGATCATACTTTTACTTTCAAAACAAACAGTTCGTACAATTGAGCCATTTCACGCACTCATTCGTACTCGCACGCCTCGACTTCATGGAGAAATGAGGCGGAAAGGAGGGGAAAAAGATTTGGGCGGGCCAGGATTCGAACCTGGGTCTCCCGAAGACACCGACCCTGGACTGCGACTGCTGGTTATTTTTTTATTCGTTTATTTTTTTTTGGCCCCTGACAACGACTGCTGGTAGGGTCTCCAGTGTCTGGGCGTCATACCACTAGACCACCCGCCCTTTGTTGGGAAGCCATGGGCCTCGCGGGTTCTGAAGAAGGGCAGAGAGCTGAGAAGTGCTGGTGAAGGGGTCCTTCTGTTGAGGGAAGGAGGCCGAGGGGGGCGTACCTGCCCTTCCTGCTATTGCGCCTGCCGAAGAGGACAGGTGCGTTGGAGAAGGTGCTGGCTGTCCACGGCAGGTACTTCCCCAGGTTGAAAGGCCAGTCTGGAGCCATTCACAAGAAAGCATGAGGGTCGAGGATCAGACAGACCAAGGCAAGGTAGGCACCTTGTCTTAAGGTAGGCACCTTGTCTTAGGTAGGTACCTACATAAGGTAAGGTAAGGTAAGATAGGTAGGTAATGTATCGTACATTCATGCTCCGAAAGTCGACATCTCTAACACCGCTGCTATGCATACCTAATCTAGGAAGCCTGGTATCATAGAATCCCAAGTCCCCGGGGACTTCCCTCGCTCCTCCTTGCCCGCGCCGATCGGAAAGTCTGACGCAGCGCCTTTTTCCAGTCCGAAAACCTCTGCAGCTGTCCATCTACCATGATCTCGCCTGGCTGCAGCTCCTTCAGTAGCGGCGGCACGTTCATGAAACTGTGGTTCGGGCCGCATGCCGAGGTGTGCCCCGGCGAGAAGCTTCGTTGTTTGATGACGTTCTCTAAACACGGGAGGCAGAAGAGCGTGTCGATGCAGTACACGCACACAACGTACTCCTCCTTGCTGTCGAACCTTCGCAGGCAGTAGTCGCAGGAGAGGCCCGGCGTAAAGTTGCCCGTAGGGGAAAAGACCTTGCCCAGGCTGAGCTCGCTGGCCCGCCCTCGCTTTGGTGAGACGCCTAGTCGCGGCGAGCTGACGCGTCGCTCGGTCATGAGGTTGCTTGACGCAGTAGCGGGATTGACAGGCGTACGCGTTGACTGCCACAGCGCTCGTGCGTTGCCCAGATCGCCCGCTGCGATGAGGGTTCGCTGCAGGTTGCGGATGCCAATCTCGTCATTTTGGGGCTCGTCATCTTCGAGAATGTCGAGATGATCCGCCACAAGCGATGCCGCGAGCTCGCGCGCCTCGTCGGGCCGGTCGCGGAAACGGTAGAAGAGCACAAGGAAGATGGACGCCTCGTTGACGTCAAAGCCTGCCATGTGGAGCGGAACGTTGCGGTTCTGGTGCTTGCTTTGCTGGGCCTGCAGCTCCTCGAGCTTGACGATCCACGGGTCCACCGCCACGGTGCGCAGCGTAGCATCGTTCTGGAGCGCCTTGAGATAGTACAGACAAGCGAGGTTCTTGAACGAGTTGGCGTACTCCACACGCACTGCAATGCTGCCCCGTGGCTTCCACTCCTGACAGATCTCCTCCTGAATGGCAATGGCCCTATCATAGTCACCAGCGGCGCGGTATACCTGGCCTAGAGCATTGCGAAGGTAGAATTCGGACCGCGAGTTTTGGGCGTCCTGGGCCAAGGCAATGGCCGCTTGATATCTCCGTGCGATTGTCACCGTGTTGTTCGTCCGGGCCGCAGCCTCAGGGATCCAGTCCCGCGTCGAATCATAGCCGATCTGGTCGAGCATAAACCATACCAGCCGGGAATGCCCTTCTTCCGTGTAGCGCTCGTCGAGTTCCTTGAGAAGCTTCATGATTTCCGGGATGCGGTTATTCTCGGCGAGAACTCGCATCAATGCAGCCTCGGGCTCGAAAGGTCTTGCGTCGTACGCTTGCTTGATGGCCTCGCGACAATAGGTGAGCGCGCTCTCGACGCGACCCATTTGTCGGTAGCAGTTTGATGCTTCCTTCAAGGCCTTGTAGAGCCGCCATCGCGCGCCAGCCACCATGTCAGGCGTTGCGTTCTTGTCCTTGATCGTCCTCTCGTCGACTGTAATGGCCATGAGATGAAAGCGAAGGGCCTTGTGGTAGTCGCCGGCCCGATAATAACAGATGCCCATGCGGCCAGCCGTCTCCTGAATGTTGCGATCAAGCTCCATCGCGCGACTGAAATTGAGCAGTGCCTTTCCGTAATTGCCCAGATTAAGCAGAGTACTGCCGATTCTTCGGTACCAGTGGGCCCCCTTTGGCAGACTTGCCCACTTGGCCGCTATCTGAACGCGAGACTCGACCGACATGTCCTCCCAATGTGTATCTGAGTCGGACCACTTGTGACCGCGACTCATCAACGCCAGACATTGCACTACACCAAAGCAAAACAGCGTGGGCATGTACATGCCAAAGTCTTCTTTGAGCCAGGCATCAGCAAAGACGCTGCCCATTGGGATCAGAGGTCCAGAAGGCGTCTTGACAGCTTCCACAGCCCAGGCCACGGCGTCAGGCGCGAGCCCACTGATGACGTCTGGATCTGTCAGCCAGGTCCTGACAACCTCAATATTTTCGTCGGTCCAGATGTCGAGGGCTTCCTCGAACAAATTTGTCCAGGCCAGGATGACAGGTCGCTCAGTCAACATGATATGGAGAAGTTTGCCAATCTGAGCCTTGTCTTCAGGAGACAAGCTGTCTCTGTCGAGGTGTTCGAGGTGCTCTTGCCAGTACCAGGCCGCGTACTTCTGCAGTGACAAGCCCTGGGCGCCGAACGCTGGATAGTTTGGTTCTGTAAATATGCGCAGGCAGGTCAGAAGAACATGAAGCTTTGCCGCAGCGAATTCAAAGCCAATCGAGGGGTGGTCGCTTGACAGGCGCAGATCTGTCGAACAGTCATCGCGAAAAAAGTCGCTAATGGACGCGTGGAAGAACGACACGGACGTGGTGTGCTTGTTGGACCGAAACTCAATGGCATCCGGGCCTTGGGAGTTCGGGCTGCGTCGTAACGGTGTGTCCGAAGTTCCTATTACTTGCATCTCTTGCTGGTGTTGTTCGACAAGTTCGGCCGTCGACATTCCGTCCTCCCGCTCCAAGGTAAAGAAGGCCGCGAGCTGTGTCCGGAGAGACTCCTCCAGGCGTAGAGGGGGGTCGCCGAATTTGAGAGCAAGGATGACCTCGACCTGCTCCAGGGTCAACGTCATCTCCGCACATGCCACCCAGCGCAAGACTTCGTTGAGATCGTCTGCTTCAGCCTGAGTAATTGTTTCCGAGAACCTCAAAACAGATTGTCGAAGCATGCCGTTGATTTCCTGGGGGTAGGACTGCAGTTTCTCGAGAATACCCCGCGCGTGACGCTCACGTCCAAGTTCGGCCAGCATAAATTTCGCCAATATGAACTGACCGCTTCCATCAACCTGTTTCGTCATGACCGATACAATCTCTTCTCTGAACGAAATAGGGGTTCCGCGTAGAATGCGCGCTTCATTGACACCTGCTGTGATGTATGAAATGACATCCTGTCCGTTACGGTCGGCGGTGACATGCAGGATTCGAAGTTGCTGGCCATTGGTCGAGTCATTCTGGAGAGGTGGCAGAACCGTCTCGGACATAGCGTTGCGTCCAAAGAGAGCCACTTGGACCCTGGTGCCACCCGGAGACTGCTTGTTGAGCCCATCCAAAAGCGAGATGAACTCACGCAGCTGGACTTGATCCGCTTCGTCTACACCGTCGAGAAGGATGTAGATGTTGCGCTGCCACCGGTCGGGAATGCAAGGCTCAACAAGCAAGCGTCGGAATGCACTGGAGACGGTCTTGATGTCGTCACTGCTAGACAGGATACGCAAGAGCTGCTTTCCGTAGAAAACGTCGACCTCGCTGACCTGATACGCGATGTCTCTGAGAGCTTGAATCATGGACCGTGTCTCTGGGTCAGTTTGCCGAAAGAAGAAGTAGCCCAGCATATGGCTTGTCTCCTGTTCCTCCATCATGCGGAGCCCCCAGCGGACCAAGCGTGCTGTGAGGTGACTCTTACCGGTGCCTGGGTTGCCGCAGCAGAAGAGAAAGCGACACTGCCCGGACAACCACGCATCAAAAGCGGGATCCTGCAGAATCCATTCGCAGGTACCCGGAGTGCGCGTGCGATCGAGCGCTTCATACGTGTCTTGCGGGAAGACACTTGGCTGCAGGATGTCTCGGAGCTTGTCGCGGTTGGAGTTGAGAGCCTGCTCTCCTGGTTTCGGTGCGCAGCGTCTGCACGTTGACATCAACCCTGGTCATCATCTCGAGGAGACGCTCTTGGTTCGAGAGTGACTGTTTCACACCAGCCATTGTCTCGGCACCGACGAGGCGGCCCTCCGCCTCGGTCAAGACAGCCAAGCGCTTGAGTGCCTCGGGTACTGGGCTCTCATGTCCAAAAAGACGCTTGAAGTAGGCCTTGAGGCGACCGCGTCGCACCTCAGCGGCAGCCAAGACGAAGATCTCAAAGACTGTGACGAGGATGGTGATGAGCTTGTCACGTAGCTCGGGAGACAAGTGCTGAGAAACGTAGAATCTCAGACGGGATGTGAAATCTTGCATCTTCTCGAACAGCTCAATAATGGAGTCGTAGCAGGCCGACACGTCCTTGGCGGCGTTGACGAGGTACATGACAGCGGCAAAAATGTTCTGGCTAGGCGCAAACACCTCGGAGGCAGCACCAGCCAGACTCTCACCAACGACCTCGATGGGCATCAGGGCTGCAGACATGGCGGAGAAGATGCGCTGCCTCTTGGCGCGGAAAGCCTCGAACTGCTTGTTCTGGCGGGCGATGACGGCGAGCATATCCTCGACGGAGTTCATCGGCGGGTTCATGTAATCAGAGAGGTCCTGATCGGACGACTCGGCATACTTTTTCTGGGCATCGTGAACAATGGCGGCGAACTGACGCTGCATACCACTATCAGTCCGCCGCAAATCCTTCATGTCGAGCTTTTCGGTCATGGCGGTTGGATGAGGGGCAGAAAGAGGGGCATGGAGGATCGTCGGCAGCTGGTCGACTGCTTTAAGGTCAGTCCTTCGCGGCTCTGTTCTGTCGGTGCCTCGAGTGAGGGTCTGTGGGCGAAGGGAACACGAGAGGGCAGCGAGCTGAAACGGGTAGCCAAGGGTTCGTAACGAAGAAGTAAACTGAACAAGTGCTTGCGCCTCATGGAGCAACTCGGCGGTTGGGCAGTCCTCAGGAGAGCCAGCCCTACGCCTTGTGGTACGGCGGCTCATCATTGGAGAGTAGAGGCGGTGACGGGATCCTGCAGATCCGACCACTGGGCTCTGTCGCGTCCAGAGTGGAGGCACGGGCAATGCCAATGACTGGAGCCTGGGGGAACTGGGGAAACCAGGGAGGGGCCGTCCGTCAAGGGGTGTTTCTTGCCCATCGTCGCGGCATACATGACGAATCCATGTTCAGTAGACCTGGCAGCCTTGTGATGGCGACATTGTTGATGTTGCTGTTGGTGTTGGAGACGATGTATCAGAGATGAAGTTGAACCGCGGTTGCCGCACGAGTTAATTCGGTCAAGCGTGGTGACACACACGCCATGGCATCTAGGGGAAGAGCAAGACGAGATACAGTGCTGACGTAAACTCCTAAGCCGTCCGTTGTGCCTTGAGCGAGCGCTGTGCCTCAGCGCCGTGCCTCGAGAGCTGTGGGGGCTGTGATGTCCATGGCCGAGCGCCTTCTGCGCAGCGGAATTTTAGTGGGATGCGCGCTGATGTTTCAGGGCCAACGCCCTTGGTCGTCTGACTAACTGACTGACTGACTGACTGCCAGGCTTTCATCACTCACATCGACAACCTCACCAATGATTGACTGACCTAGAAAGGGAACTTGGAATTATTCCTACTCTATTGGTATCGCGAGGAAATCTACAAGGCCATACACTTTGCTGCCTAAAAGATGCCTGGAATAAGTCAGAACGAATGACTTGCCGCCATTCCCTGCTTACCAAGTTCGACAACTGGACACGATAAGGCTGCGACCATGGTCAACTGACCGAAAGAGAGGCCAAAACGGCGCTTCCGAAACTGAACATCCGGAAAGACGCGTCGTTTTCGACACATCACCTCCGAGTCAACCTTTCATTAGCCGCCACATCTCCTATCCGCCAATCTGGTCGCAGTAGTACCGTCATGTTACGTTCTCTAGGCTCACCACGTCTGAACGCCCTCCGGCGCCACGATCTTGCCAGCATCACCATCCCGCTCGCCCTCGACGACGGCTCGAATGAGCTCTCCGCCAACATCTGGACCGACTGCGCCATGCTTCTTCATCGACTCGGCATCTGCACCAAGCCCCGTGATCAGGAAGCCTGGCATGACACCCCAAACCTTGACCTTATCCTCCGAGAGGATGTGATGCCATGACAGCATGAGCATGTTGACAGCTGTCTTACTCGTGCGGTAGCCGACAGGCCCTAGCGTCTCAGGGCCCGACGGCGCCCCTGTCGTCTTGGGCCATCCTGCGGGCGGCACCGGCCACGGCTCTGGGCCCTGGGCCATGGTTTCAAACGTCGACAGCTTGCTCGTCAGGAAGACGAGGCGAGGATCCGATGACCTCAGCAGAAGTGGCGCCATGGTTTCCGTCAAGACATGAGTGCCTGATACGTTGGTGTCGAACATTTTGTTGAACGCCTCACGGACAGTCATGTTGGTGCCTGCTACAAAGTCCAATGCGTGTCCTGCTGTCATCAGTCGCGGCACCAGGCTGAAGCCCCAGAGTCACACCGGACATACCATCGTTATTGACAAGGACATCTACACGACCATGTGACCCCTCAATACGCTCATACGCTGCCTGTATGGAATGGTCGCTGTCGATGTCGAGTTGTAAGATCTCAATGGTGCTTTCCGACGATGGCACTTCTGCCTGGAGCTGCTCTTTTGCTGTTTCTCCCGCGTCGGCGGACCGTGAGCCCAGGAGGACATGATACTGCTGCTCAGAGCCAATGAGGGCTTTGATGGCCTCGTACCCAACGCCAGAGTTGGCGCCGGTGATCAAGACGATACGCTGACAAGTCATGTTCAATCTGATCTTTGATGTTGGAATTTGTCTCTCTACCTCTCCCACTCTTCCCTTCGCCAAGTCACCAAGGCATGCCGCTCTTATCATTCATGGCACAGCCACAGTTGAGGAGGCGACGGCCGGATGTGACGTCGGCCCCCCAAACTCGGCGGCCCCACCCGGTGATGCTTCGGGGCAGTCATCGCGAGCGTCTGCCGGATGACAGTGGCACGATTGATTGGCCGCACGGCCAGACGACCACACCCACAGTCGCCCCCAAGGCGCCCGTCGATCGCCTTCAATCGGTCCAGTGTGATCCCTATGACGCCTTTAACACATGCAGCTTTTGTGCCCGCATCCTGGTTTTCGCTCTGGTGCCTTGGTTTCAGCTTTTTCTGCTCGAGCTAATTCGATCCCTGAGGAGCACATTGGACAGGATTAACCTTCACGATACATGCGCTCTTCGATACCTCCATCTTGATCGATTTTCAAGGCCAAGCCGTCGCCTCCCGAACACGCCACCACGACCCCCTCGCCCTGCTTCGCCCTGCTTCGCCGCCGCTTCGCAGCCACTTCTCAGAACTCACCAAGCTCGACCTACCGCCGAACCTGACAATGGCCATCGAGAATGTCGCTCTCGTCGGCGCCAACGGCACCCTCGGCTCCGTTCTCCTCGCCAAGCTTGTCGACTCGGCCGCTTTCAACCTGACAGCCGTCATCCGCAACGGCTCCTCCTCTTCTCCGCCCTACCCCACCTCCCAAGTCTGCGTCGTACATGTCGACAAGGAACTCACCTTCGCCTCGTTGAAGGCGGCGCTCACCGGCCAGGACGCCGTCATCGCCGCCTTCCCTCTGAAAAGCCCCGACGCGCACATTCGCCTTGTCGAGGCTGCTGCCGCAGCAGGCGTCAAGCTCTTCATCCCCGCCGACTTTGGCAGCATTGACGCTGACAATGCGCGCGCGAGGGAGCTGGTCCCCCTCTATCGGCACAAGCTTGCTGTGCGACTGCGCGCACAGGAGCTGGCAGATGAGCATCCCGGCTTCACCTGGGCGGGTATCGTCTGCGGGCACTTTTTCGAGTGGGGGATCACGGAGGGCTTCTTCCACACGGACCTGAAGCGGCGCACGGCTGATATTTTTGACGGCGGGAGCCATCGTGCCTCGACAACGACCTTGACGAGGGTTGGCGAGGCTGTCGTGCGGATTCTCAAGATACATCCGCGCGAGGACATAAAAAACAGGACGCTGTTCATCCAGAGCTTTTGCATTGACCAGAATGAGCTGGTTGCATCGCTGGAAAAGGCCACGGACGCCAAGTGGACCGTCAACGATCTTGAGTCGGGAGGCCTTCATCAAGGAGAAGAAAGCCAAGGCGGACGGTGGTAATGTGGCTGCTGTGGAGGATTTGGTCTTTGCGATTGGAACACTCGACGCGGACTGGACGCAGAGAGATGGCTTTGCTATGAAGCTGCTTGGCTTTGAGGACGAGAATCTGGACGAAGTCGTCGCCTCGGTGTTGAGCGGTTAATGCATAGGGTGCTGAGAGATCTATGATTTTTCGTTGAAAACCTCTGAGGTCATGGCGATCCGGTGCCAATGAAAGATTGCCTATACGTATGCTGTATTCGCACATTTGGGCACATATCATGTTACCCCCGACATGTTGATCAAGTAAAGAGGACTGTACAAGCTATCGAGCTCGGACGGCATCCCGCGACGTTGACAGTCAATGAACTCGAACCGTACACAGCTGGAGCAAACCTGATCAACTCAATGCATGCTTATACCACAGCAATTGTTGGCTTATAGTACGCAATCCAAAAATGAAAAGAAAATCACGCTTAATATCATCTAAGCGACCTCAAGCCCTCGTTGCTTTGAACTGTGAAGTTCACTGCATCCTTCTCTACCAAAGCTCAAGCACTTACTGCCACAAAATTCTTCCCCTTGTTGGAGCTTGCTCAGAATGTTGGGTTATCACGAGGAAGCCGGCAATAAGATGAATTTATGAGGCTTAATACAATTTAGAATCGTTGTCCACAAAAGTGTTGCCTTCGTGATTCCAGCTTATAGAGCTCAGCTGATATTGATACGTCCATCGGGAGAATGAAGCTTGCCACAAAACAAAGAGGTGGGAACGAACAGGGGGTCTATCTGTTATTTGCCCTAGCCAACTGAACGGTTGATGGGAACAGCAACCGAAAAATTCACTTTGAGGTCCGACCTACATCTGGCAATGCTTCAGGGCGACGCAGACAATGACGTCGTTTGCATATTTGTGATGTCTCCGAATTGCTTCAGCCACCACTGGAAAGACCTCGGCGAGGCAGGACTGAGCCAGCACGGGAGCACCCCCTGAACGCGAACTAATCTTGGCACATGGGTGCAAAACCTGTGACCGGATACAACATGATAACTGGATCGCAGTAGCAGGTTTGGAAGTTTGAAGCGAAAAGCAACTTCATTGGCGCGCTCAATGGGCTCGACGGCGAGGTGAAGATCGTCTTCAGAAATACTGGGGGAAGATTTCGCATTTGTTGCAAATGAAGGCAATTGATCATCAGACTTGTGCCAAACGTTGCGTGCGGGCCGTCACAAGCCTCCTCTTCTTGAAGTGATAGTTGCTGTGGCACGGAGGCAATTGCAACAGGCTTAACTCGACAATCGTGGCTTGGTGGCACCGAGCACAAAGGGAAACGAACAGCGCTCTCACTTGATGTCTTGTCGGATTGCGACACGAGAAAGGCGTGGCTTGAGGCGAGCTCTTATCGAGCTTCCTAAACAAGACCCTTGACCTTCCACGACGAGTTAAGCTCACCAGAAGCCGGTCGACCGTGGCCAAACGATTCGCCGTCGTGGCTTGAGTGCCGAGCGGTCCGCGCCGCCGATCCTGCACCTCAGCCGCTGATCGGCGAGGCAGACTCATTCTGCAGTGCCACGATGCGTACAATCAGGGGCTCTAAAACACACGAGTCAAGGAATTTGAGAGGACGAACCGACTAGAAAAGGAGTGTTTAGGCGTGCTGCGTTGACGATCATTTGGCCAGAGCCTCGGGAAGTACGGATGACGTCGGAGGAGGCCGACGGCGACACCGATCTCAGATATATAAGATGCGTCTTCCTCATTGATTAGATTAAACTTAGACATCACCCATCGGCAATCAGCAAAATACCTCAAAATCACAATGGCCAGATTCAACTTGACAACCGCCGTCCTCGCTCTTCTCGGCGCCAGCCAAGTCCAGTCTCAGTGCACTGGGCCGAATGTGAACGCCGCCACAATCAGCCTCATCACCGAGTTCGAGGGATGGTACCCTAACATCTGTACGTGATAAGCCTACGAGCCTCCGTCTAAAAGGCCAGGAACTGACTGCCGCAGATATTGACCCAGTCGGTCTGCCGACCGTCGGATACGGCCACTTGTGTGCCGATTCGAGTTGTTCGGATGTCCGATACCCCATCCCGCTGTCCCGCGCAAATGGCGAGCAACTCCTCCGCGACGACATTGCAGTATGCTCCCCTCTTATTCTAACCTAACATCCAACCTAACATAACAGGGCTTCCAAAATTGTATCACTCTCCAGACAGCTTCCTCCGTCGTTCTGAATGCCAATCAGTACGGAGCCCTCGTCTCCTGGGCCTTCAACGTCGGTTGCGGCGCTACCAAAACGAGCACTCTAATCCAGCGCCTCAATGCCGGCGGCAACCCCAACACTGTCGCGGCCGAGGAGTTGCCAAAGTGGAACAGGGGTGGCGGACAGGTGCTGCCCGGACTGACCCGGCGCAGGGCTGCGGAGGTCGCGCTGCATCGCACGGCGACAAGCGCGGGAGCCCTGCCGGCGTGCTCGTAAAATGGCTATGTAGATGGAGAACTATCTGTTCAAAAGTACATCATGACAATACGTATTAGTCGAGTGGATCTTGTTACCCGCGCCTGTACGGGGCCACACAGATCTGTAACCGCGCACCATCGTGCATTGTCCAAATTGGGATGTCCTGGCAGACTCAGCCCCGCTAAACATCATGTAGATTTGTTGAAATGCTGGATCAAACACTGTTTGAAAAATAGTAACCACGTTCATGAAGAAGCGGATAATGCAGAAAAGAAGAGCACTTGACTTTGGGGTTGCAGTATCTAGCACGTCGTCCGTTTCGCCACCAGGTCAAATATCAGCATACATTGATGCTAGAAGAAAGTAGCAAGATAGATCGAAGATCAATTTTCTTGAACATGGGAAACCAGTGTTCCAGTATGACTCGACGTAACTCAGACGCCGCTTCAGTCCGAGAGGTCATGTGTCATGACTTTTGCAATCCATTACAGCAAGTCGAACCCCTCATTCCCACAGCAGAGTTGAAAACGTGAAAGGCTTGTGGTTCAATATATCAAGTGTTCGCTCGAAGTTGTGACTTAACCTGTCAATCCGTCATGACTGTGCACGCATTTCTGAATTGCGGCCGGGTACAGCCCTTGATACCGGGGGCTAACACAGGGAGCAACGACGAGTAGAATGCACTCCCTGGAATCCATCACCCGACATCGCGCGAAGCGTCTGTGTAACATCATATATTTTAGCATAATAGTTTTAGGCCGCTCTATCATCCAGTCCGAGCTCCTCCTCTGGGGACCCTGACGATTTGTAGGGTCTCTCTGGCAAGTACCCTATAACCCAACATCGTAGAGATGACAACACCAAAAGGTGACGACACGGAGAACCTGTGTTCAGACTCACACGGTTTGACAAGGACATAAACAGAACCGTCACCGCCATCGCCGGGGCTCTAGACAAGAGACACTCTACGGGCGACACCCGCTCCGCCCAGAGAAAAACATCACGCTCAGCTGATCACCCGTCGGTCCCGAGCGGATGAGTGTTAGTAAACTCCGCGGACATGTCCTCACCTCACAACCCCTCTCACCCCCCAAAATCGCGAAACACAGAATCGTCCGGAAGGCGCGTTTCGCACCCCCCTCCCATTCTCGAGGAAAACTATTGTTGAGAAGAGAGGACCAGGAAACCGGTTCCTAGAGCAGAAACGAGACCATGACCCTGCTTATTGTTGACATGTTCATACGAAGGGCTGGCCCCCTCGCTTCCGCGTGAGACAACCCACACACCATGCGGCAGCTTTGCAGCAGGCGAGCCCAGTCTTCGCGAGGTCACATGAAGGGAAGGGGGGGTCACCCTGCTGACCACTTGGAGCAGTCTGTGCCTTTGGAAAGTCTGTGCGACTGTGCATCGCGTGTGGATTCGGAGCCAGTGCCGTCGTGTGAATGGCTGGACTATGGGAGGCTGCCGTCCGAAGCTATGGGGACTAGGGAGTGGCCTGACGCGGTGGACGGACGCGTCGTGACGGCCCTCGGGCGGTGGAGAAGAGTACATGCCCCCTTCATGACATGGCTTGTAAGCTTGTTTCTCGTGCCGCAGTGTCTTGAAGTTTCCGTCATGATGATGTGGTGCAAAGCCCCTAACAGTGGAAATCGACTCACAAGTGTGCTTGTGGCGAGAAAAGGGGCGTCACAGGGGGCTGGATATCACGACACCGTCTGGATGATGAACGCCCAAGTGCCGTGAAGATCGTAGTTACTCAGCCTCCGAAGCTAGATAGACAGACGGCTAGATAGACAGACGGCTAGATAGACAGACGAAGGTCTCGTCTCACTTGACTGCCGCGATGTTACCCCACCGCCACTGCCGACGCAAGCTCCCTTCAAATATCAAGTCAAGAAAGTCAGGAAACTCGCGTTCGATGCTCATGACCCGAAACTACCGACCGGATGCTACCTTCACGTTGATGGTGCTTGGACGGGGGATGTGGCGGGCGCTTGAAGAGGGATGGGTGGAGTCATGAGATCGCCAGAGTATGTCCTCCTAGGGCCCGGAATGGGGCATCTTGCAGGAGATGGTGTGCAGATGGAATGTCTCTCCAATGAAGCGTTGGAAATGCAACCCGATTTCCCCGTTCGGCGACAGTGAACGGGGCCAGCTGCACAGCAGCCCCCCTTGAGAGCACGCTTTTGGAGTACCTAGTGCAAGTATCATATACAGTGATCACCCTGGACGATGACCGGAAGCCGGAATAGTGATCATTGGTGGCAGAAAATGCGAGATACTGGCTTGTTCCTCCAGGTCACAGTCTGGGCGCTGCCTCAACGGGTGACGTGCAGGAATATTTACAGTCGTGGAGATGGCGTATTGCCAAAGAAAAAAGAGTATCGGAATGATTACGAATACTACTCCAGACGCCTTAGACTTGTGGCTGGCGGTGGCGCACGCCTTTGGCGAGGCGGAGGTATGTGTGCGTCCCATAGCGCAGAGGGGCGATCTCAGCAAAATCGCTAGAGCCCACCAAAATGGAACGAGCAGTCATGCGGTGACACGAAGAGACGAAGGGAAAAAGAGGTCGACCTTCATACTGAAATGGAGACGAGGAGCAATTTTGGGGCAGCGAGCTGAAGGAGGGTCGCCGGGATAGACTAGGAGTGTGGGGATTTAGGGGCTTTCGAGCTGATGGTGGTGGTGGTGATGGTGGTGTGCGTGTGTGTGTGTGTGTGTGTGTGTGTGTAGGGGTCAGGTTGGTGGTGTGTCGAGGGTCAGGCATGATTTGTCCGAGACATCTAGCCCTGGTCGCACTTGGACGTCGGAGCATAGTAAGGCATCAGATATTGGGAAAGGAGACTGGACGGACAGAGTGACAGGGTAAGATCAGATAGCGCGTTGCTCGACCCGAAGACCAATAGACAGACCACTGGGTCGGTCATCAACCCGGTTTGCGCCAGTAGACCGCATGCTGGGGGTAGTGGTATGCCGCCATGGCACGAGTTGAAGAGCGACGGACTAGCTCCCAAGGCAACGTCGTTAGCTCGAGCGGCAGGCAATGATGGTTGGTGACTTAGCAGGTAGACCACCAGTGTGGCGAGCGTTCGTAAGACGATGCGGAGTACCAGGGATGTTCCTTGTTCTGCTTATGGTGGCTGAGGCAAATCGTCGTTGACATGTTGCCCAAAAGATGAGCGGCATCTTGCGATCATCGACGTTGGCGGACAGGACCCTGTTTCTGACTCCTGCATGCTTGTCACGGTTAGGTAGCGAAGCCCCCCTCCCCAGCCTGGTGTACTTGTTCGATCGTAGGCCGCCTTATGAGAGGCCTAGCTTCTCGTAGGCTCCCTAACCCAGCCCCTCTTGCTTTCACGAAGCCCATCGACGGGAGAGGCGGCAACGCGGGAATGTCGCAGCCATCGTTATCTTGGCAAGCCGACGTAACAGGCCGCGCCAGGTGAGGGGTCGAAATAGAACAAGCTACAAGGCCATGTGACAGGTGGTCGCGGGGCGGCGTGCTCGGTGCGGCGTCAAACGGCCATCATGATTCATACGGGCCTCAAGTAGGCAAGATATCGAAGCAGCCGGCTGAAGGACTTTCTAGGACTTGTCAGATGGGGTTGTTGTTTGGTTTCCATTTCGAGTAGTCCCCGAGGCGCAGGACAGGGCATGGCATGGCATTGCATGGCATCTGCCTGCATTTACCCACTTCTTGCTGCAGCCAGATCGGGTCCCGCTCGCAGTGGTCTGCAGCCTCTTTCTTTCCATCTACTTACCTTCGCACACCACCCCCCCCCCACCCCC